TTAAAATTTTAAGTAGCAAGACACCTATTTATCACTTAGTATTGAAATTATTAGTTAGGGTTAATCTAAATTTGTACCCTAAAAGATCACTTGAATCTTAATTTATACCCTCAAAGTTTAAAAATATTAATTTATATCCTAAAAGATATAAATTTGTATCAATGTACACCTGAGATTAATTTTCATCCATTTTACAGTTAAAAAAAATTGGACTAATTATAAATTGCACCCTTACAATTTAAATATTCATATTTATGATCCGAAAAAAATTTCTTCCATTAATGTTTGTTAAATAGTTTTCAATTGTATCATGTTATAATATTTTTGTGTCATGTTCGAGTCAATAAAAAAATATTTTTTAAATTTAAAAAAATATATAAAATATCTATTTTTTGTTTACAATATTTGTTAAATAACTATTTTCTGTCTATAGTTAGATACAAATCTTTTGATTATTTGATCAAATTAAAGTTAGACATGAATAACACAACTATAGGCAAAAAGTAACTATTTAATAAGTATTATAGGTAAAAATAGGTATTTTTATAATTTTAAAAAATATTAAATAGTATTATATAAATTATCGTAAATGTTAAATATACGACACAACGCAATTGACTTGACACAAAAATATTTTTGTGTTAAAAATATTTTTTCATCGACTCGAACACAACACAAAAATGATACGATACAATTAAGAGGTATTTAACGAGTGTTAATTGATGGAATTTTCTTTAATCATAAATGTAAAATATTTAAATTTTGAAGGTGTAATTTATAGTTATTTCAAACTTTTTTAACGGCAAAATGGATAATAGTTAACCCTCGGTGCACATTAATACAAATTTATGTCTTTTATGGTGTAAATTAATATTTTTAAATTTTGAGGGTACAAATTAAAATTTTGAGTAATCTTTCAGGGTAGAAGTTGAGATTAGTCTTATTGGTTAATAAGGATTTTATCAATTCCTCGTAATCAACAAATATACTCTCAATGTATTTTATCATTGTCATTGTACCACCGCTACCATTGCCATTGTACCAACGCCACCACGTTCGCCACCGCCACATTGTGTCACCGCCATAACCATCATCATTATAGTCGCCATTATATCATTGTCACTATCATCATTATGCCACTACCGCTACAACAATCATCGTTGTCGTTGCCGCCGCCACGACCACCATTGTGATGATAGTGGTAGGAATAAGGTAATTGCAAATAAATAGTTAAAAAGATTGACAAAATTAGAATAATAATAATTTTCAAACTTCAACTTCTTATATTTGTTAAACAACTTGATTCAATTTAATACTTAAATTTCAGTTGATACCAAATAGTTTGCAAATTAAAAAATTCAGTATTCAACATTTAAAATTTAGCATTCAATTTTAAGTGTTCAACTCTCAGTTTTATCAAACACCGCATACCATTTTTTAAACAGAAAATATCAAAATTTGCAGTAAAATATCAAACGTATGTTTTGCTAAGGCACTCTCTCTCTCTCTCATCACGCACTCGGTCACTGAGACACACATAGAGAACTATATTCCTTGATTCATTATTTGCATACTAAAGCACCTTGTACCATCCCAATATAAAAAAAATTTAAAGCCAAGATTAGGGCGATATTTTGATATTTCGGAGGAGCCCTCGTAGACGGTCACCATCTAAACAAGAAAGTTGGTTGTAAATATTAACATTAAGAGACCCAACTTTAATATTCTGGTAATATATAAACGATATCCAAACCATCTCTTGGGTCAAACATTAATGTTCCAAGACTATGTGATGTTTTTGTCAATGAGTTCTTTAGCCCAGTGCCAGGCTCTAACTGACTTGTCTAGAAGTTATTATGCTTTTCTATCCTTGTTTGTTCTTCAACCAGAGAAATAATATTTGTATATCAATATGTTCTCCAATTTCAATCCCACTTCATGTTACTTAATTGCTATATATAACTCTTTTGGAAAGAATATTCAGTGAAGTATGGTGGTAGCATCAAGCAGCTCATGATTAAGATTCGAAAAGAGGGTACACAAATAGGGTTTTCTTTCTTAAGAATCTGGCCATGGTTCATATAATTTATGTAATGCTTGGCATGGTGTCATGACCAGCACTGTAGGGATGGCAATGGGTAATTGGGTAGTATAGTGTTGGGTTCGTATTATCTCTAAGCGGTATAGTTTAAAATTTGTTTAATTTATAGCCCACTTATTTATGGAAATGGACAGTCAAGTTTATGTTGTAAAAACATTGTGTTCTGTCGAATTTTCGTTGTATTTAGTTGAAATCCTATCGACTTATTTATTAGACTTGCCAAACAGTCTACCTATTTTTCTTACCACTATAACCCTTTAGGACTAAGTTCAAA